CGCTCCCTATCACCCTTGTCTGTTTGTTTGTTTGGTTGTTGAGACAGGGTCTCTCTAAGTAGCCCAGGCTGGCCCAGAACTTGTGTCGGTTCTCCTGTCTCAACCTCAAGGGTGCTGGGATAACAGGCGCGTGACACCACACCGGGTTTGTCACTCACCTTTGATCCCTGCCCTAACCCTAAAGCTGCATGGAGGTGAAAGCAGGGCTCCTGTTCCTGCTCTGTCCTGCACCTGGCGCAGTGTCAGTGTCCCGACAGAAGCGGTCAGTATCTCTGCTTGGAGATCGGGAGAGAGGGAAGGGGACACTGTCCCTGCCCTTGTCCCTTCCTGGGCAGGCGTCACATGGAACTGCAACCTCATTCATGGTGCAGCCACACAGACAGAGTGTGTCAGGCAAGGTTATCAGCGAGCAAGCAGGCCTTGGAGCTTACAGACCGCTGAAGGAGACCTGCAGTGCACCAGTCCTGGCCCCAGTGAACACCCAGTTCGAGAGAGGCGAGGGAGGCTCAGTGTGGGGTGGAGGGCAGACTTCCTGAACCAAGGGCAGATGGAAAGAAAAGCGTTCTGGGGAGCAGCGATGAGGAAGTGAAACAGGATGCTGCGTGGCAGTGCACGCCTATAATTCCAGCACTTGGGAGGCTGAGGCAGGAGGATTGCTGTGAGTTCAAGGCCAGCCTGGGCTACATAGCAAGATCCTATCTCAAAAAAAGCCAAAAATAAAAAATAAAAATAAAGGAGACCATGGGATACTGGGAAGTGAAGAGGTGAGGAAGAGCCCTGCAGACAGAGGGAACAGGATGAGTGCAGCCTCTGAGCATGGGAGGAACTGGGAACATACGGAGGACAGGACGAGGGGAGGGGCAGGGCAGCCAGCGTAGGCAGCCTGACAACAGGTGCTGCCTCAGATTTGCCGCAGTCCTGTTCTGAGGCTGAGGCAGGAGAGGAAGCCTGCGTACGTGCATGCAGGGCAGGTCGGAGGCTCCTGAACGAACTGTGATGCGGTGCCCATTCCCAGGGCGACCCTGTCCAGGCCTGCTCTGCACAGTCTGCATGTCAGAAACTGAATCCTATCAGTATCAAGATGAACAGTGCCTTCTCGGGAACTGAGTCATCCACGCAGACGCACAACCTTGATCCAGTAAACACCCGAGGAAGACTGTGTGTGTGTGTGTGTGTGTTGGGGGTACTGGGAGGTTGAACCTGGGGCTTTTATACTGGGCAATATCCCACAGGGTCTTGCTAAGTTGCCCAGCCGGAGCTCACACTTGCTATCCTCCTGCCTCAGCCTCCCAGAGTGCTGGGAGAACTTAACATTAGGGAATAGCCAATGTGGTGGCATGTGCCTGTAATCCCAGTATCACAGGAAGCTGAAGCAGGAGGATCTCAAGTTTGAGCCCAATTTAGGCAAGTTAGCAAGATCCTATCTTAGGACAGGATCCCAGTACTGAAAAAGAAGGAAATATGAGGCCAGGGATTTAGCTCAGTGGCACCGCGCCTGCCTCAAAAGCACAAGGTCCGGAGTTTGATCACTGGTACCAATAAATAAATAAATAAATAAATAAATAAATAAATAAGGAAATACAGGTTTGAGGGTGCAGCTCAGTGGTAGGCAAGAGCACTTGCCCAGAATATACAAGGACCTCAATTTCTAGCACTGGAAAGAAAGGGGAAAAGATTAAAAATAAAAAGATTAGGCAATCCAGAGCAAAGGTGTCTGTCCTGGGTATTCAGCGGATTAGCCAAACAATGTATGGTTTCCCTGTCTGGAACACAGCCTAGCTGATGAGTCCTGATGTGGGCTGGCCATGCAGTGCTAGAACCCTCACCCTGCACATGAGGCCCTGGGTTCAAGCCCTGGCACTGCAAAGCCAAACAACACAACTGCAGAAGCCGTGTAGACAAATACTGGTGCGTGGATATGTCCCTGATATGCTGTCAGATGGGAGGGGAAAAGCTAGCTACACATGGGTATTAGGCAGGGATTTCCTCTTTGATCCTCAGACTGACAAAGGGGTCGGACAGCAGCACCCCTGATTTCCATGTGTTATTCTTTTTTTCAAGGTTCTGAGGATTAAGCCCAGGGCCTTCACACTGAGCTACACTCCCAGCCTTTTTACAAATTTTATTTATGTATTTTTAGAGACCACTCACCCAACAAGCCTTTCTTGTCTGGACTGATGAGACCCAAGAGACCCGGGAGGGCAAGCTCCCGCTGGCCACTCACGCCCAGGCTCCCAGGCCTGGCTGGCCTGACTGGGGTCTGACAGCTTTATTGGTCCCCAGTCCCCAACCTCCCACTTATCCTGTGGTGGGGACCCCAGGCTGTGTGTGTAGGAGGGCTTGTAGCTGGGAACCCTTCCTCTGGGTCTCTTTCCTCTTCTGTGAAATGGCAGTGTGGGTTGAGTTCTGGGGGCTTCTGGAGATCCCCACATGCTAACCTGATCCTCCCAGGCACCACCCCACAGGGCCCTACCTTCTGGAGCAGTGAGGAGCTCAGGCCAGCCATGGGGTCCTTTCGGCACCGGTGCCTCAGGGTTAGGGTGCAGTGGCAGAAAAAGAGAAAGTTGGGGGAGGGGCCTGGACCGGAAGTCCCAGGAGCACTTAACCCTTCCAGGACCTGGCAGGCCCTCTGTCCCTGTGCTCAGCACCCCTCCAGGGGCCCCAGCCCTCTCTCTGCCCCTGGATGAGGGCCAGGTCTCTGCCCTGGTGTCCCCAGCTAATCCAGGATCAGCCCTCTCTGGGGTGCTGATTTAATGATTTCTTCGTGCTATTTAATGATTTCCTGGGCGGAAAGCTTACCAGATGCCAGGAGTACCAGGCAAAGACTGCCACCACTGCCTGTGACCCTGACAGATGTCTGCCCTTCCCTGGCCTCAAGTGAGGAAAAAGCAAGACTTAAAAGTCCCCAAGACCGCAGGTGTCAACATCAGGGTGCTACAAAGAGTTCCCGGGAAACCGGGCCTCTCTGGGTACCAGGCTGAAAGCCTGCAGGCCCTGGGAGGACGAGGACAGGAGCTAAGGATGCACTGTCCACAGGCGGGCGGGTAGGAGGGCGGTCTTGGAAAGCAGAGGCAGGGGCGAGTGGGGCCTAGGGTTAGGATGAGGGAAAGCGGAAGATCGTCCGTTCAGGCCCTCGGGCCCAAGATGTTGGGCTTCTCGTGTCAGGCCAGCAGGGCGGTCAGAAATGCCTGTCGGCTGTGCAGCTCCGGAAAACCAGCCACTGCCTTCCCAGAAATGACACTGTGAATAGCTAAGGGACAGAGTGTCTCAGGAGCAAGCACGGGACACTGCAGCTCTCCAAAAACTTGGCCCCAGGTCAGGTCATGTTTTCTGGGCCTCTGCATGGGAACTGGGCTTGTTCCCGGCTTCTGGAAGGTGCAGGGAGGCAGGGAAGGCGAGCCCACAACAGTCCCAAGGCAGGACTGCTCTGGCTGTCCTGGCCTCGCGCTGCAGCCACCAGCAAACACTAGGCACCGTGGAGCCCTGGGGACACAGTGCGACCCCAACTCCTATGCTGAGTCAGCAGTGGCCTGGGGAGCCCCACCCAGGCTGGGCTTAAACTCCAGCCCGTACTTCCCCGTCTGCAGTCTGGGGTGACACCAGGCCCGCTGTGAGCACTGCCTGAGAGGAAGACACACAGCTTGGCACCTTGGAGGCACCTCCAGCCTGGCTGACCTGATGCTAGCGGGGCTTTGGGAGGGATGTGAAGGACCTGGGGTTTGTACATTGGCTGAGCTTCCCGGTGTTTTCCGCATCGCTGCCCCAACCAGAGAAAAAGCACTGTGGTTTCAGGCTGAGGCCCCGTTCTTGTCCTGTCTGGCTTTGGGAAGAGTGGGCGGTGTTTCCACATCTTGTTTTCTCCAGAAGCTAACCAGTTCCAGACCAGGCTCTCCAGCAGGGACCCAGAGGCTCGCATTGGGGTGGCAGGGGTTCAGGGGACCAGAACAGACTAGAGGGGAGGTTCAAAGTGGGGGGTCTGCCGGGGGTCGAAGTCCTCTGCTCGGCAAAACAGGGAGGGGATCAGCGTGGGCCTCACATCCCCCGCAGGGGTCCAAGACCCCAGGAAGGAGGACAGGCACCAGGTGTCCTCCCCAAGGCCCACGTGAGACATGGGGTTCCCGCTTCCTCACCCGGACTTGGCTGCAGGGCCCCTGTGCCAGCCCAGTGCAAGCCCCTTGGTCCCTTTGGGTGCTGGTGCCAGGCCCTCTACTAAGAGCCCCACCTCCCTCCCTGCCTGCTGTGGTTCATGTGTGTACCTCAGAAGCCCCTCTTCTGCTGGTGAGAGAGGGCCTGGCAGGAGGTGCTGGGGTCCAGGGGCCTTAGCGATGGTAGCCACCTGTGCGCACAGCGTCCGTCCCTGCTTGTCACCGTGCCAGGTGCCTGGACTTCACAGCCTCTGGCAGCACGAGACTAAGACGGCTCCTCTGCCCATCACCATCTCAGGTGACCCCAGCACAGATGGGGCAGCTCCCCTTCCCACCCTGACTCTCCAGACAAGGGAACTGAAGTGGCGTCAAACACACAGCGGCAGTGGGGTCTGGACGCAGCTCTGCCCACCTCTGAGCTCTGCCCTCGATCTCGGTGCCCTCACCAGGTCCCAAAGGGGCTGCAGCTCCCCATGGTGACTCGGCCCCACCTCTAGAAGCCTGGGGACACATGTCCTGGGAGGGAAGGGGCACGGGCAGCTTCACACGAGGGATGACCAAGCTGGGACAAGGACCCTGGACTGCCAGCTCCCACGCCAGGGGCCGCTCCTGCCCCTGCTTATCAAAGCTCTCGAGGGCTCACACAACAGCAACAGGGACGGCAGAGGATATGCCAGCCACAAGGTCCCTGGCCAGGGCCAGTTTGCACCGCAGGTCCTGCCTCGGGGCTCCAGGGGTCATGGGGCCCAAGGCGAGCAGAGCCCAGGAAGCGGGGCCTGAGCCGGGGCCGATGGGCCCAACAGACCTGGCAGAGTGGGTGAAGGGCCCCTCCGGGATGCGGAGACCTCGGAAGCCTTCGTTGTGTTATAGGTTTATTTGATATTTGATCTGAGTCTGTGTAACGGATTGCTTCATGGTTAGCAGAGGCTAGTGTGCATTATTTCTGAAGGTTACATCCAATGACACGATGCAGGAAACACAAATGGACAGACAAATGGACGTAACTGTTAAGACAAGAGACGCTAAAACGTGCCTTAGTGTCCACGTGATTGATCTAAGGCAGGGACCCTCCTGAAGTGGCGGCCCGAGTGATGACCTAAAGCGGGTGGCTTCCCCTTACCAGGTGCTGGCCGGGAAACTGGCTTGGAACCAAAAAACAGGGGCCGCCTGCCCTCCCAGCAGTGAGCCCCCCGCGCCTGGCCGCCCTGAAATGCCTGCCCTTCGGGAATGGCCACAGTGACAGGGCTGACCAGACCAGTGGAGGTGGGCAGTGGCACTGAGCAGAGCCGTGACGCGCGAGGTGGGGAAACGAGAGTGCAGGCGGAGTGGCCCCGTGGCTCGGGAACACTGTGGAGGGCGGGGAGGGCGCCGGCAGTGGGGAGAATGGAGCTCTGTTTGTCCGGGGGTCACCAACCGCGTCTCTTCCCTTGTTGGCAGCTCTGGAACATTCCCTTTGGCCGACAGCCACACAAAGGAGTCCCTGCCAAGATCCACGGAGGAGAAAGAAAACAAGACACCAAAAAAAACAAAACAAAAAAAAAAACACCCCCCAAAAACAAACAAATATAAAATCCCCACCCCAGGAGAAGAGCGGAAAAACAGAACTACTGGATCAAGGTCACACCGGATTCGGAGACGTCCTGCACCCACACCCCAGGGGAAGGAAATACAATTCAGTGTCTCACTCTTCTGCCTGTTCCGAGGGAAACCACCCCCCAACCCTGAGACTCCAACTCACTGGCCTTCAGTGTCTTTTTCTTTTTTTTTTCTGGTATTTTTTTCTTTTTAATACCCAAACCATCAACTTTCAGTTTAAAAAACAAAACAAAAAATCTTTGACTTAAAAGTAACATTGAAAACTGCCACAAAAAGGGATGTGGCAAAGCGACGAGGGGGGCCTGCTCACCCATGGGTCCTGCCGCCCCGGCCACCGGGACGACCCTCTGCAGCCTGGTCGCCCCGACCCCCTGGCCTCAGTCCTGGCGGGCATTCGGGGCTGGTGGCATCCCCGAAAGGAAGAGAGGAAAACTGCCCACCGTTCCTTACACACCTCCAGTGGCCCCGAACATTTTGGGAATGCGTAAGTCACCTGGAGGGAGGAGATGGGAGGTGGAGAAAAATAAATACCAAGAGCTAACTGGATGTCCCTGGGCCTCTGGCGCGGGCACGACCTCTGAGACAGAGGTGGCCTCCAGGGAGGAGACCCTGATTGTCCAAATACTGTGCTCTGGGCCCGGCTAGGTCTCTGGTCTCCCCAGCAGGCGCCTACCCCAGGTGAGTCTCAGAGGGCACGAGGGGCCAGCCCCTCAGACTCCATCCTCGAGCCTGGCCTGGCTCACACCAGGCCCCAGCCCTGCCGCTGAGGCGGGGCCAGCTGTCCGGGAGTCCTGGAAGGTAGGGCCCGGCCTGGCTGGCCTGAGGACTCGGGGTCTTGCTGCTGCTAGCCACAGCCTCGCTCAGGCCTGCTCCTTGTCGGCCCTCCAGAGCCGCTCCTTCACCTCTGGGGGCAGCGTGTTGAGCAAGTCCTCCTCCACCACCAGGCCGCTGCGCCTGAGCAGCGGACACTCGCCTAGCTCCACGGGCAGGCACTCCAGCCGGTTGCCCCGCAGCTCGATCTGCGTCAGGTTGGTCAGCTCGCCCACCCTCGAGGGCAGTGACTGCAGCACGTTGTTGCCCAGGTGCAGGGCCCGAAGCTTTCGGCACTGGAAGAGCTCTGGGGGCAGCGCCTCGATCTGGGGGAGAGCAGAGGGCCAGAGTGAGGGGGCATGGCCAAGGGGAGGCGCTGTCTCCACCCCACAGGGGCCCCTCGGCTCCCACATCACCTGCCTTGGCCTGCGAACTTTCACCTGTACACTAGGTCGGCTCGCAGCCACGTCCTCCAGGAAGCTCAGCTACAGCGGAACCCTGGGGAGTCCTTTTCCCTCCCCGGGCCTCAGTTTCCCCATTTGTAAAATGCCAGGGTTGGACTAGAGATGATTCTCAGCTTGATGGGTTTTTGTAGGCTTGGTCCTCGACTTCAGAGAGCAACCCGGCCTTCCTAGCCGGGAGGCAAGAGTGGCTGTGGGACTCGGGACACTCCTGGCCTGGTGTCTGAAACCAACCTGCTGTGCCCAGGCAGGCGTGGCTTCTGGGTCTGAGGTCAGGGCAGACGGGAAGCGGGCTCTGCAGGACCCAGGACCAAAGCTTCCCGAGTGGCCCGCTCCACCCCCTGCCCCCGTCACCTCCTCTGATGAGCGGTCAGGGCTACTGGGAAAGGCTCAGCCCAGTGAGTGGCAGCGCTGGGGTCCACAGGGAGTCAGTCTGGCTCCAGCGACCCCTCCCCTGGCCCCAGAGCTCAGCCCAGGCCCCACCTTCGGCAATGCAGCTCCCACCACTCACACCTGTCCTCTGGCCCTGTCCCCTCCTGAAAGTCCCTGGCCCACGGAGGCTGGAAGTCAGCTCCCTTTGCCCCCAGCCCCCTCTCCGGCCTCCTCAGGGATCCTGCTGGCTCCCCATCCGCGAGGAAGTGGCCTTGAAGAGCTCTCCCAGGCTGCTCTCTTCCCCCTAGGTTTGGCCATCTGCACCCTGACCATGCGAGAGACACCGCCCCTCGCCCTGATCCAGGCCTGCAGCCCTCTCCTCCCTGCCTCCCCGTGCTGGGAGCCGGGCTCAGCCCTGCCCTCCCCCTTCCCCTCATGGAGGCAGTGTCACAGACCCCTCTGAGCAGAGAGAGGCTCCTCCAGCTTTAGGCTGGTCCCAAGTGGGCCCGGGACATCTATGGCTGCCAGGGGACTCTGACACTGCAGCAAGGCTGGGGGCCTGTGAGAGGCCCTGCGCACAGCCAGCTGTGCCTGTGCCTGCCTGGGGTAAAGTCCACATTCCAGGGCAGCCCGCAGGCCCCTCTCCTCCTCACCCAGCCACCTCCGCACACTCCAGGGCAGGCGACAGGCCCCTCCCGAGACTCCTCCTCCTCCCAACCCAGCGGGGCCCCTGTGTGCCACTGCCTGGTCACCTGGGGACCTTGACCATCCCGTGTCCCCAGCGCCCTGTGGGATGCTGGGTTCAGGGAGAGCTCAGAAAACATCTGCCCAAGCAGCAAGGGAACAAGGAGGGAAGGAATACCCGCCTGGCCAGGTGTTCATTAGCATGCACGTCCAATGGGGACATCGCACCCCCAGGCTTGGGCCGGGCCACTCCCACCACCTGGGCCACCGCAGCCAGGTGGCTCACGAGGAGCCAGGGAGCCCGAGAGCAGGAAGGAGAGGACCGGGCCTTGGCTTAGGAGGACGGACCTGCCTGCCCGCCTCAATTGGCCCAAGGGAACATTTTCCTGATAAAACCCTTGGCCTCTCTTCCAGCGGGTGGGGGGACAGGACGTGATTAAGCAGTGTGCTAAAATGGGTCTCCATAGGGGCTCCTTCCTCCGGGACAGCGCCTCCGCCAGCTCCTTTCCTGAAGGCTGACCTCAGCCTACAGGCATGATGCTAACAGGCAAGCCTGGTTCGAGGAACTGGGGGTGGGGACAGGATGGGGGACAGGGTGGGGACCAGGCTGGAGGCTGGCCTGTGCCCCCGCACCCAGGAGGAGGGCTGGGCCCACGGCCTGGGGCAGAGCGGGCATGGCAGGGTGTGGGAAGGACTTCTGACCCAACAGGGGCCATGAGGGTCCAACCCGGGGCCATGGGAAGGCCACTCGGTGTCCCCTCCTCACACTACAGAAGGTGGTGACTGGCTTGGCCCAGCTTTGTAAGCATGGCTTCTGTCCCCACAGGACTCTGATTTTCCTGCCTAGTGACCTGCAGCAGTGAGACAACCTTTACATACTCACACGAGCGATCAGATAAATCACAATTTGGGAGAAGGACATAGGGTTTGTCACGGTTCCTGTGACACCGGGGAGGTGGGCTAGCAGCAGCAGAGCTTGGAAGCCTTCTGACCTGAGCCAGGGAGGACGAGGTGTGTCCTTGTCTGGGGCTAGGGAGGGCAGACAGGGCCATTTCAGGGGCTCCCACCTGCCATGCCCAAGGTCTCAGCAGAGAGCTGCTATTGGTGGGAGGACAGCAGAGTCCTACCTGGGACAGAGCTGGCTCAGCAGGCACAGAGAGGGCAGGTGTATCAGGTCTCTGCCTCCCAAGCCCTGGCTTCAGGATTCCACCACCCACTGCAGAAATCTGCATTTGAGAGCGAGGCCCAGGAAGCCCTGCAGGCCCCAGAGGGGCAGGGAAGCTCCCCGAAGGGCAGCTGTGAGGAACACCCTGCCCGCCACCCCAGCCTGCCTGCCTCTGCCAAGGGACCTTGGCATGGGAGCTTTGCCAGCCAGACAAGAGATTGGCGCACAGGCGCCACCAACAGTCTCAAAGGCGTAGCCTCCTACACTGCCAGCCATTGGTTTGCACAGAAAGGCAGCTGGTTGCAAGCCAGCCCTGTCTGAGGCCAGCTCTGCCCTTCGCCAACCCGTAACAGTGAAGCGGCAATGCAGAGCATCCGGCTGCCCTGAGCCACAGCAGGGCACTCGAACAGCTTCTGTCCCTGGCAGCTGGACCCAGAAAGGCTCCTGGGCTCCCAGCTGGTTGGGGACAAGCTAAGGAAGATACCACAAACTCTGAGCTAAGTCCGGCCTCTGGCCTCCTGTCCCCAAGGGAGACCACAGGCTTGTGTGGCTCTTGGCCATGCACAGACAGCCCTGCCTACAAGGAACCTGCCTCAGGTCACCTTGGGGACAGACCCTAGCTGGCCACACCTCTTTTCCTGGCAGGAACTCTGTAGCATTCTGCGACACAGGCAGCTCCCCACCCCAGAGATCTCCATTGGGCCAGTGTGGGATGGGGCCTGGGAGGCCAAATCTTGAGTGAGCACCCTCCCAGGGAGTTTCGGGAACCAGAGGTGAGGACTCCCAAGCCAGGAGCACTAACTGTCCTGAGGCACTGGGCCTCCTGGGTGCCCACCACAGGCCGCACCAGCCTACACGCTGTGCCACCTCCACGCCACGCCACTCACCCGATTGGCCGTGACAGCCAGATTCTGGAGGTTCTGCAGGAGGCCGATATCGGCGGGGAGGAAGGTCAGGTTGTTGTGGCTGAGGTCCAGGTAGCGCAGCTTGCGGCAGTAGAAGAGCTGGGTGGGGATCTTCTCGATCTTGTTGCGGTTCAGGTAGAGGCGCTCAAGGTTGGTGAGGTTGCCAATCTGGATGGGGATGTAGGCGATGTGGTTGTACCACAGCTTAAGGCAGGTGAGGCGGTGCAGGTGCTGGAAGCTGATGATCTCCTCGATGGTCTTCAGGTTGTTGTCCTTGAGGTCGATCTCCTGCAGGTTGTGGAGGCTGAAGATGGAGTGGGGGATGCGCTCCAGGTCGCAGCGGATCAGCTCCAGCTCAGTCAGGTTCACCATCTTCTTGAGGCTGTTGAGCACGATGAGCTTGGTGCCCTCATTGTTGATGGATAGCTTCTGCAGGTGCACTCCCACGTCCGTCACCACCTGCGGCAGCTTGCTCAGGTTGCTCTTGAGCCGCAGCACCTTGAGGCGCTTGAGCTCTCGCAGGCCGTCGATGACGATGTAGCGGTTGTTCTCGGCGCTCAGGTTGCCCGTCAGGTGTAGCTCCTCCAGCGTCTTCAGGCTGTAGATCCACAGCGGGATCTCCTTGATGTCTGTGAACTTGATGTGCAGCGCCCGCAGGTTCTCGCGCAGGAAAGCCAGGGCCGGGGCCTCGATCTTGGCCGCTGTGTGGTACAGCCACAGCTCCTTGAGGCCCGTGAGCTGGGCGATGCTGGGTGGGATGGTCACGTCGGGGATGAGCTCCAGCTTTAGGACTTCCAGCTCCACCAGGTCGAACACGGTGTCGGGGATGCCACTGAGCATGAACAGGTGCAGCTCCAGTTTGTCCTGCGCATTTTTGGTGAGCCGCTGCCGAAGCTTGTCCAGCGTCCACTCGTTGTTGAGGTTCAGCTGCCGCAGCTTGTTCTCACTCACCTCTGAGAGGAAGACGGCAAAGCGCTTGGAGTAGAGCGGGTCATACTGGTCGATGAGGTGCAGCATGAAGGCGAAGTCATTCTTGACGTCGGGGATGTCGCTGTAGCTGCTCTCCTCACGGATCGACTCGAACGAGTACTTCTTGAGCGAGCGCCTCAGCATCCACCACAGCGTATACATGCAGATGAGGCCGTAGAAGATGACCAGGCTGATGTAGAAGGACGCCAGGATCTTGAAGAGCGTGGCCAGAGGGTGGGCACACCGGTAGGTGCGGTAACCCGTCAGGCTCTCGATGTCCACGGTGCAGTCCACGTCGAACTTGATGTTGTGCACGTAGTAGACAGTGTAGCAGATGATGAGGATGAACTTGATCACTTTGATGATGGTCTGCCGCATGTAAAGGCGGTACACGATGTCCCCCTCCTCCACGTGGGTGCGGAATTTCTTCACCTTCTCGAACAAAGCCTTGGCCTGCTCTCCCTCCTTCTTGTCCAGCACCCCCGTCTCCGAACGGTCCACGATGCCTTGCTCAATCCGCGACTTGGTGCGCTGCAGCATGGGCATGGTGGCCTCCACGTCCTCGCTGACTGTTGAGGACTTCTTGTCCATGGAGCCGTTCATCTTGCTGAAGGCTGGCTTGGGGTCGCTCTCCTCCACCACCGTCTCTGACAGGGCCCGGGTGGTCCAGGGCGAGTCAAAGCACTTGAGCAGGATGGACACGAAGTGCTCCAGCTTGGAGCTGGTGCGTGGGAACTTGAACCAGAAGTTGCTGCAGGCCAGGAAGATGAGCGTGTGCAGGAGCACGAGGTAGGGGAAATACTTGGCGAACCAGTGCAGACGGTTCTCGTAGCACACGGCGTCCACATAGTTGTACTGGTGGCGGTCCAGGTCGTACTTGATGCCCGTGGGGCCTGTGTCAGGCGTCGGCAGGATCGTGGAGTTGGGGTAGGCGGGCTCCAGGCTGGGGGACATCCAGCCTCGGAACGAGTCATTGCAGGAGTCCTTGGTGACCCACTTACAAGGCAGACAGATCATCTTGTCCTGGGTGACCTGCAGCGTCCCCCCAAAGACAGCAATCATCAGCATGACAATGGAGATGTAGTCCGTGAACACGTCCCACCACGGCTTCAGGATCCGGTATGCTGGCTGTGTGTCCGCAAAGTAGCGGAGCTCTGTCACCGGAATCATGGTTCAACCTGAAAGGGAGCCATAGGAGGAGTTACTACAGGGCGGCCCGGCATTATGGGATCCAGGGTCAGGGGAAAAAATGAAAACTCCATCACTGCCCAAAACTCCACCTCACATCTATCTGGGATTCAGAGCCTGGCCCTTCCACAGGTGGCCACCAATTGGCCCTCACGCAGAAACCATATGATCAGTGTTGCCTGGGAAACCACTGCAGGCCGGGGGTGGGCAGTCTCCCCATTTAACAGACAGGAGGACAGTGCGCTGGGAGAACAGGGCTCCCAGGGCAGATCTCAGAAGCAGCCTCACTGTCCTGGCTCGCTGCATTCCACCTGGAGTGTTCGGGGATTCCTGCAAGGAGTGTGCCCAGGTACTCATCAGACTAACCAGAGGGCTTGTGTAAAACTCTCAGGGGCTGGAACTGGCTGCTGGGAAGCTGCTGCAGTGAGCTGAAGGAATTTCTCCAGTGAGTGAGGAATGTGAAATGCAAAGAACTCCAAGTGAGTCACCAAGAACTCACTTTCATAAGACTAACCAAGTTCAAAACTGCTACAGGGCAAGAGGAAAGGTGGGAGGGTCACACACAGCAGGCTGGTGAGAGGCTCCCGGGAAGGGGCTGCACCAGCGACAGCATGATCACACTGGCCCTGCTGGGAACTGACTTCCAGGGCTGAGTGTAGAAACAAGCGGGAAATGGTGACCACAGCCGACTCTCAGAGTCCAACTGGCTGGATCAGGAGAAGCTCGGGAATCTGATTGCTAGCACGTGACTTTGGTGACGCTCATTAACAGCCAAGGCTGGAAACCCTGGATCAGAAGCCACGTGTGGGAAATCCCACCTGTGCCACACAGAAAGCCACGGGAGTTGGGTCAGGGAAAGAGCCGGGTGTGGTAGCGCACGCTTGTAATCCCAGCACTCAGGAGGCTGAGGCCGGAGGATCACTTCGAGTTCGAGGCCAGCCTGGGCTACACAGGGAGACCCTGTTTCAAAAACACAAAAAACCCAAAAAAAGTGGGGGAAAGAATCCTCCCTCGGCATCCACGACCACCCTGCCAACGAGGCTGCTCTGTAAAGCAGCAATGACAGGGAAGGGGATGTTCCCCTGGCCGGTCACTCAGGAACACTTGGAAGAACAGAAAAAGGCAGGAGAGTGAAAAAGAAGAAAGTCCTTGTAAACCACCCCTAGAGCTACCCACTGTTAGCTTTTGTTGTCTTTTTTGTGGTGGCAAGGATTGAAGCAGACCCTTACACATGCTAGGCAAATGCTCTACCACTGAGCTATGCCCCCAGACCTTTTAAAATTATAATTTTGAGGCAGTCTCCCCATGTTGCCCAGGCTGGCCTTGAACTTGGGATCTTCCTAAATCAACCTCAGAAGTAGCTGGGATTTCAGGCAGGTGCCACTGTACCACCCATGGTTAACTTTTCACTGCGTAATAACCTTCCAAGCTGGGCACAGTAATCCCAGCATCTGGGGGCTGAAGCAGGAGCAGTACAAGTTCAAGACCAGTCCTAGGCCAGCCTGGACTATAGACAAATACAGTCTCAAAAAAAAAAAAAAAGAAAAGGAGAGAAAAAAAGAAAATAACCCTCTAGTCCTTTCTGTACATTTGTTAAAATAAAAATTGTGCTTTTTCATTACGTACTACTTTCTAGCCCAGGACCTAGGTTTCACACCAGGCCTAAATGTCTGTGTCAGGTGGGTCTGTTTCTCTTGGGAGAGGAGGGGACTTCCCAAGGGAGGGACCAGGCACCCACTCCCATCACTGACGACGCTGATCATGCCAATGGTGGTGACCCCTTCACAAAGGAACCTCTGTAGATGCCAAGACTCCCAGCCTGTACGGCACCCAGGGCCGGGTGTGAGCCCAGGAGAAGGCAGACCAGGGGCCCACGTGATGGAGGTGGCTCCGGGCACTCATGTGTAGTGGAGGTGACAATGGACACAGCAGGGCTGAGGGGCTGCGTGCGTGCGTGCCAGGCACCCTGCCCCTACCACAGATAGCTCAGGGACAGGCACCTGCCCAGAGTCATTTTGCTATCATGTGACAGGGCCGAGGTGGGCTTGCCAACCTCTTGCCTGGGGTGCCCGGTGAAGGTGAAGGGGTCTGAAGGGCCCGGACACCCGACTCAACCTCCCCATCCCTGGGGTTCCCAGAGCTCAGGTCACCCTGCGGCCAGCAGACGCTCCACCCGCGCGGGCCAGCCTGGTGAGGGTCAGTGTGCCTCGTGAGCCTGGACTTCCAGCCAAGGCCTGTGGCCGCCCACCGGAAGGCCCCGGGCCTCTAATGACCAGCTGGCTCTACACACCACCCACTCTCCGGGAAAGGAACTCTCCGGGCGGCAGGGTGAATCACACAGCTGGCCTCCCTCCTGCCCAGACCTCACCTGGGTGAGGCCACAGCACCAGGACCGGAAGGAAGGCCCAAGGCATGCAGCAGCCTGCCCCGAGGTCCCAGGAGACTGGCATGACTGCGAGCCGGGTACCCGGGGAGGGGGCAGCTGCTGAGAAGCAGGATGTGGCTTCCACGTTATGGCTCCAGTGTCAGGTCACGGGGACCCCCAGCCTCCTGTGGAGGAGCGGGCTCAGCTCTGCTGTCAGGAGAGGCAGAAGCGTTCATAGCTCCGGGGCAAGTGAGAGGACTAGGGCGCAGAGGGAAGTCCCTGCCTGCCTAAGAAGCAGTTCATTACGTCCAGGCCTGCCTGTCTCTCCCCTACCCTTGGTGCTAAGTGGGCAAAACACGTGTCTGAGCTGTGTCCCCACTTTGGGGTCGCCTCAGTCAGACTGGACATGCGCAGAGGAGGACAGAAGATACGGACATTCAGAGGCAGAGCCTGGGGCTGGTCACAGAGCTACAAAGGACCAGGGCTGGGGTCCAGACAGGCCTGGCCCAGCTTGGGCCCAGGTCTGCCCTGGTGGGGGAAGCCCATCTAGCTGGACGTGCACTGTCTCCACACCTCTGCTGCATGGCTCTGGGCAAGTCACCGTCCTTCTCTGAGAGGGTTTTTTTTTTTTTAATTTTTGGTACCGGGGATCAAACTTGGGGCCTTGCACTTTCGAGGCAGGCAGCTGAACCACTGAGCTACATCCCCAGCCCTCTGATAGGGTTTTTGGGGAAGACCTGAGAGAAGATGCAGGCACCAAATCCCAGGATTTCATCCCCTGAGGTGTGGAGGAAGAGACCACGTGTCAGAGCAGCCTGAAGGAGGACAGCCAGGACCAAGGTGTGGTCAGGGTTGAACGGGGGTCCCCTGGGGGACCGGGACCAAGCTCCTGCTGGCTTGCAGCTTGACACAGCTTCACACACACAGCAGGCACAAGAGCTCAGAGGGACGGAGAACAGTCCACGGAACTCTGTCTATAAGGTATTAGTGGTGCACGCATACAATCCCAGGTACCTGGGAGGCTGAGACAGGAGGATCACACGTTCAAAGCCTGCCTGTGCAATTTAGGGAGACTCAGACTCAAATTAAGATGAGATAGGGCTGGGTATGGAGCTCAGTGGCAGTGTGTGCCTAGCATGAGCGAGGCCCGGGGTTGGATCCCCATTGCCACACATGCCCACAAAAAAGCCATGGGCATGGGGGGGGGGGCTCAGTCTGGGTGGTATGGTCATCAGCCCCCCTCCACAGCACCTGGGCCAGGCCGGATGCTCCTTGTGCACAGGAGATCACAGCACACGGTAGGCACCTACTAAGGACAGATGTGCTCCTAGAGAGAGAAGACAGGGCGGAAGGACAGCACTGAGCTCTGCCTGGGTGGATGGGCGTGGGCCTGGGTGTGTAGGGGGGCAGTTTCAGGTGAGGTGGGGGGGGTGTGGGCGGGCCTGCAGGCTCCTCCCGCTTCCTGCCGGGAGCAGGAGGCGGGAAGGAGGGGAAGCGCTGGAGCCACAGAGAGGGAAGAGGGAGCCCCTCGAAGGGACACACAGGGCCCGGGGCCTGATGACAAACCCATGGTTCAGCAGCGCCCCAGGGGCCCAGCCCGCATCTCACAACAGCCAGAGCCTTTGTCTTCCTGGGTGGGTTCACGCCATGCAAAACCTGCCCAACGTGAATGGCCCGGGTGGCAGAGCAGGGCAGTGAGGCTGAGGTGCAGCCGTCTGCCCGTTAGATGCCAACTCCCTGAGCATCCCCAGCTGTGGCAGCACCTTCCGCTTTCTGTCTCTGTGCACCTGACCATCTGAGCGCTGCACGGGAGTGGATTCGTCACTTCTCAGGCTTCAGGGTCACCCTCACCCATGTGTTTCAGAATTTCCCCTTGTAAGCCTGAACGGTACTCCTGACCCATTTACACTGGGGCCCTAAGTGGCAGAGGGAGAAGTCCTTTACCAACCTCACCGCCTGCAGTGACTGCAGCAGCCTCCCGGGGCATGGATGCCACCTGCCAGCTCTCCTGGGCACCCCTGGGTGTGGGCAGAAGCACCAGAAGGGTGGGGCACACTCAGGGCAGGGGTCTGTCCCCATGTCACAGAAGGAGCCCTTCACAGGTGTCCCCAGGCAGAGCCTTGGTGCCCTCCTTGGGCTCAGCCTTCTGTAACTGGCCCAGCCTCCTAGCAGAGCTGTGGGGCACCTTCTCTCCCGGGGCCTCAGTTTCCCTGTCTGGAGCCGTGTGCCCGCACTGTATAAAAGGTGGACAGAGGAAGTGACAGGCATGTGGCCCAGGCCCCTGCCCAGCCTGTCTCCTCCTTCACCATCTGCAGCCCACCCCCAGGTCACACAGCAGGGTTCAGGCCCCGAACCACCGCTGCCACCACAGACCACCCTGAGCCCTGTCCTCAGCATCCTGCCTGCAGCCAGCAGAGGGGGAGGCGTCGCCCAGCAGCCAGGACACCTCCCCGGCACCCTGGTTTCCCTAGCTACCCTTGGACTCTCCTGAAGATCACAGAAACTGGGTTCCCAAATCTCCGGTGTGGGAGCCAAGGGCAGGTAGAACAGGAGCTCCAGACAGCGGGACAATGGCACGAACTCATGGCCGGGAGGATGGCCCAGCTCTGCTCTCACCAACAGTGA